GGCTATGATAAACAGTGCTGCGATGAACATTGGGGTGCACGTGTCTCTTTCAGATCTGCCTAACCTATGATGTCTTGTATTTTCTACTGGAAGTTTTAGCTCTTAGATGTAGATATATGATCTATTTTGAGGTAAGATTTGTGTACGATGTAAGATATGGCTCTAAATTCATTTTATTGCATATAAATATACAATTGTCTGAATGGAATTTCTCTCATAGAATTGCCTTGCTGCTTCTGAGGAACACCAATCAATCATAAATGTGAGGGTTAATTTTTCTATTCTCAGTTTCATTGATATAGATGTCTACTTTTATGTAAAACCACACTGTCTTAATTACTGTAGCTTTTAGTAAGTTTTCAAATTGGGTAGAATGAGTCTTCCATCTTTGTTCATAGTTTTTGAAACTCTTATGGCTGTTCAGGGAGAGTACATTCTTATATAAATTACAGGGTCAGTTAGTCGATTCCTACAAAATTCTCTCTGGGATTTTAATTGTGGTTATGCTGAATCTACGTATCAATTTAGAGAATTTTCTTCTTAGTAATATTGAGTCTTCTGATCCAAGAACATGAAATACATTTTATTTACTTAGATCTTTATTTTTTCTGAGTAGTTTTATAATTTTCAGTGTACAAGTCTTTCACTTACTTTGTTAAATTTATTCCTAAGTATTTTGCTCTTTTTGATGTTATTGTGTGTGGAATTATTTTCTAATTTCATTTTAACATTGTTCATTGTTAGTATATAGAAATACAAACAATATGTGTATATTGGACTTGTATCCTGCAATCTTGCTGATTTGATTTATGAGTTCATATACTAAAAAAATGTCCTTACTATTTTCTATATGTAGAATAACCTTAACTGCATTAAATAAGTTATACTTCTTTTTCTACCATGGATGACTTTAATATCTTTCCTTTTTCTGGGACCTTCCTGGTGGTCTAGTGGTTAAGACTCTACGTTCCCAATACAGGGAGCATGGGTTTGATCCCTGGTTGGGGAACTAAGATTCATATGCCATACAGGCAAAAAAAATATGAAATATTCTCAATCATTATTTGTTCAAATATTAACTCTTCTCAATTCTTTTTATTCACTCATTTAAGAACTTGTATGACATGAATATTGAACCATTACGCTTTCTCCTAAATTTCTTTTAACCAAACTTTCGGTTTCTAATGGAACTCCTTTTTTTGCCCCCACTCAGAATCAAGCTTCCTTATCTTTTTTCTGTACTGAGATTTTTTTTTTTTAGTTCCACTTACATGAAGAAGACTGCTGTAATTGTGTTTCTTTAGTTTATTTAGATTTATAAAGAGCCTTCATTCCAGTTTTAAGTCACTACTCTTCAGCTCTCAGGGAAGGAATAAACCCTAGACTCCTAAATTAGAGAACCAATATCAAGATTTTCTCCTCCCCAGGATATTGCAAAATTAATGAAATTGCTTTCCTTTTTCACTGTGAGTTCCCTTATGTTTTCTGGAAACTGGGACTTCTATTATTTCTTCTGAGTTCAATTACTTATTTTATTTATGTTCTTATTTTTGCTAAATTTTTATCTAGCCTTACTATATTTTATGGAAGAGAAGAATCTGTGTTAGATCATTATTTATGCAGCCTAAATCAGAAGTCTCCTCTTAGGTATTCATTTTGTGCAAAATTAACAACAACTGCAATCAATGTACCCAAGATAATCATTGAAAACTCAATAGTTAATGCTGTTATACCCAGTTCATTTATATCCTACTAAATTCACAGTCTATAATCATTTACCAGAGTCATATTATTGATAAACTATTTTTTTAAGAAAAAAAAATAATTTCTTCAAAAAAGAAGCAGAATTTTTCCAAACGAATTACAAATTTCCTAAATTTGATTTATATCACTTCAAAGAATGTGGCAGAAGTGATCACTGCTTTTTAGAAATTATTTTATTGATGTCTTTTTAGACAATTTTTCAGCTCCCACTGAATTTCAGTAAGCTGCTCCCATGTGTCTGAATGCTGCCAATAGGTATGAAAAAAATGAAGAGTGGATAGAAGAAGAGAACTCAGGTCATAAATACGCCAACTGCATATAAGCAGCATTAATTACAGGCACTTGTGGATGACAGAAAATTAAAATACCCTTCTACAAGTTGCTTGAGTTTTAAACCTTTACTAGCTCTCTTTCTAATATATTTCACTGTGTACTTTGGCAACAGTTGTATGACATTACTCTGAAGGTACCTAGAGTTGTAACATTAGACTCAAGAGTCCAAGTTTTAACTTTTTCACATATTGTTTTCTGTTGTGAGATTGCCATTTCTCTCATAGTCTCTGTTAAGACCAAATGGCAGGAGAGAGTTAAACTGAAATTTTCTTAAACTTTTGTGTTTTCCTGGAAGTGGTCATTATAGATTTACATCATATTATACTTATGCTTAAATTACATACAGAATGAATGATTGATTTAACTTAAGTCTAACTAAGGTAGATAATCCTCATTGTATAAGATTTCTTGGGAGTGAGAAAATTGTATGTGATGAGGCAGAAAGAATATAGACTGGACAGTCAGAGAGTCAGGAGCTTTGTCACTCATCACCGTGGAAGTTTTAGCATGTTACAGGACAGGCTCCTCACTTGCAGAATAGATATGGTGTCTTCTTCTCAGGTTTGCTGTGGGAATTAAAAAACTAAAATAGAAGTACAGCACTGAACTCAGATCTAGGTGCTCAATAAATATTATTTTTTCCTTGCTATTCTAAAATATTAAGTGTTCCAGTTAAAAGACACAGATTTTCCATTATGCCTTACAGGCTGTTTACACCAAAATGATTGAAAATGAAAGATTTTCAAAAAGGTTGGAAGTAAAAGAATGAGAAAAGACATACCATGGAAAAACAAAACAGGTGTAACTATTATAAGAAAAGTAAAGTTTCAGACAGAACACATTATATTAGAGTGGGTCAGTTCATAAGATAAATGGTTCAGATCACTAGGATGAGTTAAAATTTCTAAAACTGTAATACCTGTGAGCGGTTATAAACTTGCAATTTCTGTGATTTCTTTCCTCATACTAAACAAACTTACTTTTTTAATTTTTAAAAATTAATTCATGAAATTTAACAACTGTATATCTGAAAAGAAGGTTGGAGGTTTTCTTTTCCAACACTTGTTACTGGCTTGGGGTCTAGGAGGTAATGAGTTGGTCAAGTTCGTGAAGTAAGCCCCCATGTCTAATTACACATTAAATATGTAGCTAAAGCCGATGGCTTTCTTTTCTTTTTTTTTCCATTGGCATATAGTTGGTTTATAATATTGTATTAATTCAGGTGTAAAACATAGTCATTCATTATTTTTATAGCTTATATTATATTCTTGGGCTTCCCTGGTGGTTTAGATGGTAAAGAGTCTGCCTGCAGTGTTGGAGACCTGGGTTCAATCCCTGGGTTGGGAAGATCCCCTGGAGAAGGAAATGGCAACCCACTCCATTATTCTTGCCTGGAAAATTCCATGAATGGAGGAGCCTGGGGGGTCACAAAAAGTTGGACACAACTGAGCAACTAACTTTATATTATACTCCATTAAAAATTATTACAAAATAATGGCTATGTATCCCTATGTATAATTTTTCCTTCTTGCTTATTTATTTTATACCCAGTAGTTTGTGTCTCCTAGTCCTATACCCTTATCTCACCCTTCCCCACTTCCCTCTCCCCACTGGTGACCACTAGTTTGCTCTCTATATCTTTGAGTCTGTGCCTGTTTTGTTATGTGCATTTGTTTTATATTTTAGAATCCAAATATAAGTGATAACATAGAGTATTTGTCTTTCTCCAGGTGGTGCTAGTGATAAAGAACCCACCTGCCAATGCAGGAGACATAAGAGACAAGTGCTCAATCCCTGGGTCAGGAAGATTCCCTGGAGAAGGGAATGCAACCCACTCCAGTATTCTTGCCTGGAGAATTCCACGAACTGAGGAGCCTGGCAAGCTACAGTCTGTGGGGTCATAAAGAGTCAGATACAACTGAAGTGACTTAGCAAGATACAGAAGCAACCTAAGTATCCACCAACAGATGAATGAAGAATGTATATATATATATATATAAGAATGTATATATACACACACACACATATGCATACATAATGGAATATTACTCCACCATAAAAAAGGATGAAATGCTGTCTTTTGCTACAGTTTGGAGGGACCTCCGGAGTATTATGCTTGGTGAAGCAAAGCTAATGACTATTTTTTTCTGTTATTTAATAAAATGTAATTCTATGCCATGTCCATGCTTGTCTTTTTCTATAGGATTTAGAATATCATCATTTGTACTTCATGACTTTTGCCTAGTCTCTAACTTCCAATTTCTTGTCTGCATTTTCCTCATCTCTGTGAACTATTTTCGTTTTGATGCTTGAGATTCACTTCCAACCCCTTACCCTCAGCCCAGGTGTAAAAGAGTCTATGGAAGGTCAATCCTTCCCCAACACACAGCCAAGACAAGACCTTCTGCCTAGGGAAACAGCCATAACTATGGACTCCAAGGGATAGATAAAATAAGAAAACAAAAAATAAAAGTGGAGAAGGTTCTGCAAAGGTCAGACTTTTACGGACTCTTAAGGAGAAAATGTCGTTCTTTCTCTGTGGGGACATGAATGAGCTTTTTATCTAAACTAAGCTCAGAAGACCAAACAGCTGGAAAATAAAAGAGCATTAATAATTTTCCCTTTGAGAAGTGTGACTATGAATTTAAAGAATGAGTCATATTCTACTGTTTAGTCTATGAAAGTAAGAACTGGTTTTCCCTTTGTTTCTTTTTCTCTTCCCCTCCTCAAAGGAACACACAGATGATTTAAGCAGCCTTCGATTACAACATACCTAAAATAATAAAGCAATTGAGGGGGAAAGAAATCAGCTGAAGGTGTAAACCCCCTCCAGGCTGAATGACTGTGGCATATTTCACCCTCTCATTCTAAATCAATGCTAAGCAAAGCACAGAAATGTTTACCTTTGTCTGATCTCTAATTCCCTAAATTTATGTGGAATCATGCACAGATGCTCTGGAAACCAGCCTGGAAAAGCCTGGCATTTTAATTGATCCCAGAGCTTCTTGCCTCACGGCTCCTGCTGTGATGAAGTCTGCTACTTGTTCCAAAGATTCTCCGCCCGGTTGCCTAGCCACCGGCAGCTGACCAATCAAGGTGTCCACAGGCAGCGGAGGAAGTAACCAATCAATTTTTTAATTTCCTTCTGTAAACGGGAGTGAATCAGGGTGGATTTGAAATCTCATTAGTCAAAAGTAAGATGTGTAGTGTGCATTTTAACATATGTATTAGTTGAATGCATTTGGCATTCATTCATAAATACTGATGAATATTTGAAAGCCCATTTCAGACAAATGTGAACCATAAGCTACTAACCTAGTTTTGAAAATAAGCTTTATAGTCTTGCTAGCCCAATCTAATTTCAGCAGACTAATTTAACCTAATTTAACACTTCCCTCTTTGAAAAATAGCTTATCGGAATTTTCATCTAGAGACAATGGTACCTTCTGCTTTTAAATCACCCAAATTCAATGTAGTAAAGCCATAGTTAACTTTTGGCTTTCATTCCCTAATCTACCCAGTTGTCTGTCTGTTTTTGCTGTTGTTGGTTTTGGTTTTCCCTCTGACTTTGACCCTTCTTCTCCATTCCCATGACCAATACTCTGGTCTAAGGCCCAGATTTCTTCATGTTTGGATTCAGAATCAGTCCTTGGCCCTGGTTCCTCCAGTGCATTCTACAAGCCATCAGCAGCTGTCATCACTTTAATCCTCTTCTGGAAAACCTTTCCTGAAATGCAGGCTGGCATGTGTTGAAGTCAGCACTTATCCATTGGTGTATTCCAGGAAGATGTCTTGCATCTCTGAACCTGTTTTTTACTACAGATAATTCCATTAAGGGAGAAAATGTCCATACATTCTCTGGTTCATATTACATAAGTATAATTTATTATATAAATGTATTGCACACATATCTTCTATTATTTTATTTTCACTATTATTTAACAGCTCCTGTTTTTGTAAACATTCTCCTTGGATCCTCATGGTCCTTCATAATCTGGCCTCCTTCTCACCCATATCATTCATCCCACACTCATTTCCTCACCAACATGTACCCATCACTCTATCAGAGTGTCTCCTCACTGAGCTTTCATTCATCATCTTACACTCATTCCTTACCTCTTTAACTCCTATTTGTCTTTCAGACCTCAAATTCAAGCATCACATCCTAGTGAAAAGTTCCCTTATTATTTGCTTTCAAAGAACCATGTTAGACAACTGTTCTCTGTGTGTAACTGTAGGTTGCTTCAGTTCAGTTCAGTTCAGTTGCTCAGTTGTGCCTGACTCTTTGCGACCCCATAGACTGTAGCACGCCAGGCCTCCCTGTCCATCACCAACTCCCAGAGTTTACTCAGATGCATGTCCATTGAGTCCGTGATGCCATCCAACCACCTCATTCTCTGTCATCCCCTTCGCCTCCCGCCTTCAATCTTCCCCACCATCTGGATCTTTTCCAATGAGTTGGCTCTTCGCATCAGGTGGCCAGAGTCTTGGAGTTTCAGCTTCAATATCAGTCCTTTCAATGAATATTCAGGACTGATTTCCTTTAGGATGGACTGGTTTGATCTCCTTGCAATCCAAGGGACTCTCAAGAGTCTTCTCCAACACCACAGTTCAAAA